GGCAGTGATGCCAGATTGGGCTACAAGTAGCGGATTGGGCTACTTTTTAAGTGCCCTCGCTACAAAAATTTCAAATTGGGCGACACGCTACTTTTTGGGCTAGTGATAATTATCTTCAGGCTAAAAATCTTAAAAATACGCTACTTTTTTATTTTTATATATAAAATCGCAAAACATTTATTGTATTATACAAAACTAATAAAGTTTTATTTAATTTCATTACACTTAATTGTATAAATAAAGTTGCAACGTTTAACAAAGATAAAGATACTTTGCTTCCGTTTTCCATCCGTCGTTCGCTCCAGTAGACAATCCACAATTTCACAAGCACGGAGGCGACCTTGTTTGAAAATGTTTGATATTGTTTTGGCGCCAGTGTTACAAAACACAACAGTTAAACAAATAAACTCCAGCACCAAAAGTTGGGAAAAAAACAAATCTGTTAAATGATAATTTAGTATGTAAATTTTCATGCAGTCGTCAACCTCCTTTTTATTATTATTTTGGTGAAATAGGAAGAATGAGCAATTGTCATATTTAAATATTTTTTAGAGAAATGGGAAGAATGAGCAATTGTCATTCTTCCTATTTATCTAAAAAATATTTAAATATATAAAACATATACAATTGCCATTGTATATGTTTTATATATTTAAATTTTTTTAAATAAAAATCTTTATACGTAAGAAATGTGTATTGTGTACGATATGCACGTGATGAGTGTAATTCAACAAGAGGATAAGCATATAACATACACCTATGTTCTTTCTTTATCCGTTTATTTTCTTTACAGGATTATTTTACAGATTTCGACACTCCACGTGTTTGTTCTATTACATATACTTTCTGAAAATACTCGGACAAAATCGTTAAATATAATCTCGCGGCAAAAAAACAACCGATCAGACACTCATCTCATACGGGGATTGTAGGTAGCAGCCATCTGAAGGAACTTCTAAGTTTCACCACCAGATGTCGCAGCCACTCACGCTGTAACGCCCCGTACCAATTTTTAGTTGACTTTGATGCATGAATGGCAGCATTATCCTGTTGAAATTGCCAATTTTCTCTCCAAATAAGTGATCTAAAAGTTATTAAATATTGATACAACAGTTTTTGATACAATGGAAACAGGGGGGCCTTAAAACTGAAAACAAAAGCCGCAGTCGCTAAGTCTCTAAGTTCAAAAAATTAATTGCCTCGCTTGCGAATGACTCGCTTTGATTTAGAGAAAATTGATGCAGATACACCGAATGTCCATATACAGTATACTGTATTATAAACTTATTTCATTATTAAAAGTGCATAGTTGCAAAATAATTCATTTTTATTGTTTGGACTATAAACAGTTTAAATCCGCTATTTTTGAAGCACAACCACGTTATTTTTTAACCTTCAGATCTGGCAACTCTTCAAGGTTGGGAAGGAAATTTCTGCAAAGGACAAACAATAGATAAAACAAAGAAAGGAAAATATACAAAAATTAGAACAAAATATATATCTAATATGGCGTACAGCCACAATACGAAACTATCTTTACCGAATCTTAAACGTAAGACGTAAGTTTATGACACATAATTGACAAAAATTTAATCCTTCCAAAAAGTCGACTTTTTTAAAACACCGCGGGACGCGGGAAAAATTGTCAAAAATCGGGGCTGTCCCGCCAAAAGCGGGACGTCTGGTCACCTTAATCTTGATTTACCAGAACAGCAACCTGACGCCTTTACCACCTCGGTCTCATTGTGGACTTGGGGCGAATTTTCGAAGGACATGGAAAAAACCATACTAAGCGCTAGTAAGGTAGAGAGTTTAATTTAATAAATAAAGTAGCCAGCAATGCAGCGCATAACATGATAATGCCTCGTATATGCGACCGGGTGGCCGAGCGGTTAAGGTGTCAGCTTACCGTTCTGGGGGACCCGGGATGAAATCATGACGGGCAGAAAAACGCAATGAATTTTTCGGGGAAGTGGTCGATCCAGATATGTTGTGCCCGTTTTTCACCATCCGTTCGCCCCATTGTGGGCCAGGCCGAACCCATAACGGGCTTGCCGAAAGACCCTTTAGTGCCCAGAGGACAAAGAGTTTTTTTTAAAAAAATTCCTCGTATAAAAAATAAATCATTTTTTTGAATTTTTAAACCTTTAATTATACCTAATTAATTCTATTTCCGCTTGAAGCAATCGATTTTAAAAACAAATTGAGAAAAGTTAAATCAATTTAAAATATTAAAAAAATAAAATCGATTTCTAACACGAACTTCGTCAGGTGGCGCTATGCATCCGATATTATCGTCTGTTTTGATGTGATGTTTTTAGCAGTTTTGATTCGCATGTAAATAATGCTAAAATAAAAAAAATAAAAAAAATAAACTTTAGACATTTAATTTAAATACATCAAAATGCTGACTGCCAACAATAAATCAAGAATGAAGCACGTAGCATTAACATTACAACAAAAAGTGGATTTAATCAAATTAGTGGAGATTGGCGTACCTAAAATTAAGATTGCTCGCCAGTTTAATATTGGAGAATCAACTGTACGTCGTATGGTGAAGAAAAGAAAAGAAATTTTTGAATGTTCTAACTTATGCTCAAGAAATATCAAGGAAAGCAAAACACCTGAAGTCGATGAAAAGGTGTGGTCATGGTACAAACAAATGGAAGGTGAAGGCAAAGGTCCAGTCAGTGATGTGGCCATTATGAAAAAAGCTAGAAAATTGCATAAAGAATTAAAACTAAAGAAGTCTTGCAATTATTCAATGGTGTGGTTGCAATGTTTTAAGTGGCGTTACGGAATTGACGATAAAAGTGACAATGCGGTAACCTACAATGCACAGACTTTTAACGAATTTCTGGAAAAATTAAGAAGTCAACACTTAAATAATGCTGAAGAGACATATACTAAGGAAATTTCGGAAGTGATTTCTAAATATGAGGCCAAAGAACGAGCAAATAGATTGATGGCAAAAGTAAGGAAGTGCAAGTCGGGCAAGAAAGAGACAAATGAAGGTGCAGGTGATGAGAACAGAATGAAGAGAAAACATGTGTCGCTTACTCTTAAAGAAAAAGTGGACATAATTAAATTATTGAAAAATGGTGTAGGCAAAAATAGGATTAGATTGCTGTTTAATATTGGAGAAACGACTCTACGACGTATAATAAGAAATAAAGCAGCTATATGTGATTATGATGATAAATATAATAATTCTGAGCATTCGTTAAAATATATTAGATATAAAAATGCTCCAATTGATAAAAAAGTTTGGTCTTGGTATAAACAAATGAATGATGAAGGCAAAGGTCCAATCAGTGATGTAACTATCATAAGGAAAGCTAAAGAATTGCATAAAAAATTGAAACTGAAGAAAGAGTGTATTTATTCTATGAGATGGTTGCAGCATTTCAAGTGGCGTTATGGAATTGTGAACATTAGAAAAGATGATAATGTAATTACATATGATGCACAAACTTTCAATAAATTACTTGAAGAATTTAAAATCGAAAATAAATTAAAAGAAAAAGAAACTAACACAAATACTGCAAAAAAATGTAAGGAAATATTTGAAAATAATATAGCAAATAAACAAGCAATTGTGTTAATAAAAAAAGTGACAAAAAATGATTTGGTGGAGAAGTATATTGATGACAATAGTGCAGAAAAATGTAGCAATATGACAGATGAACAGATAAGTAATAATGTTATGGAAGAATGCAAAAATACAACAGAAATAGAAGTACAGGATGACAATATAGATGATGATAACACAAGAGAACAGATAAATGATAATGTGGAAAGATGTAGAAATACAACAAAGAGACAGATAAACAATAATATATACACTAGGCTGAGGAAGAAGTATTTGGAAAAATTAAATATTCGTCAAAAAGTGAATATAGTTAAACTGGTGGAAAGTGGTATAGCCATAAATAAAGTTGCTCGTCATTTTAACATTAGAGAATCAATTGTATCTCATATTATAAAACATAAAGACAAAATTTTAGACTTTTATGCTAATAAATTTCATAATTTTGGATACTTACAAAAAACTATTAAACAGAAGAGAGTTCCAGAAGTTGATGAAAAAGTTTGGTCATGGTACAAAGAAATGAAAGCTAAAAGTGAGAATCCAATAGAAGATGCAGCCATCATAAGGAAAGCAAAAGAATTCCATAAGAAAATGAAAATAAATAAAATCTGTCTGTATTCAATGGGCTGGTTAAATCATTTTAAATGGTATTATGACATTAAGAAATTTAAGATGCAAAATGAACACATTAAAGTTGCAAATGATATGCAAATATTTGATGAAATATGTGAAAAAGTTACAACAGTTAATACATTAAGAGATAAACAATCAAGTAATGGGGAAGAGAAGAATATAGGCATTACAAAAGAACCAGAAGAAAAAGTTGATTCCAAGATAACTGAGAAAGATAATTCATTAGCAGCAGAATTAAAAGAAGGCACATCAGTAGATGAACAGATTAATGGTATGGATGATGATAAGATCAGCATACAGGAACAGGAAAATGATGATAATCCAATAGATAAGGATACAATAGAAGAGCAGACAAGCTGTAATATTACAGAAGAACAGGTAAACAATGATATTTCAGATGATGATACAAACATAGTAGAGAAAAAGATAAATGATGACATCAGAATACAGGAACAGATAAATGACAAAATTATAAATGATGATAATGATATTCAAGTAGAACAAACAAATGATGATAGATATATAGCAAAGGGAAAGCGTGTATCTTTAACCCTTCAACAAAAATTGGAATTAATTAAATTGGTAGAAAGTGGTATACCAAAAAGTAAAATTGCTCGTCATTTTTGCATTGGAGAAACAACTCTACGTCGCATAGTAAGAAATAAGGCTAGAATTTTTGACTTCAATGCTAATAAGTGTAATTTAATGCATTTGAGAAAAAATATTAAAGTAAGTAGAGTTCCAACAGTTGATGAAAAAGTTTGGTCTTGGTACAAAAAAATGAAAGCAAAAGGTCCAGTCATGGGTAAAACTATAATTAAAAAGGCAAAAGAACTACATAAGAAAATGAAAATAAAAGAAGCATGTTCATACTCTGAAGGATGGTTGAAGCGTTTTAAGTGGCGTCATGGCATTAATGTTAAAAATAGAAATACAACTACTGCAGATAATAGAAAGACATTTAATAAAATATTTGGAAAACTTAAAACCAAAAGTAAAGTAAAAACCAAAGTAAAAAATATAAAGGAAAAAAATGCAGATTTGGCAAGAAACTGTGAAGAGACATCTGAGTATGATGTTGGAGGAAGAGAAACAGAGGAACATCTTAGATATAGTATGAAAGGTAGGAATAAAACTAAGAAGTATATGACATTAAACTTTCAACAAAAAATGGATATAATTAAATTAGTAGAAAATGGCATATCCAAAAATATGATTGCACACCATTTTAACATTGGAGAAACAACTGTACGTCGCATATTAAGAAATAAAGCTGTGATTCTTGAACATAATACTAATGATTTGTGTTCAAGAAAAAGGATTAGTCATAACAAAGTTGATATGCTTTCTGAAGTTGATGAGAAACTTTGGTCTTGGTACAAACAAATGGAAGCTAAAGGTAAAGGTCCAGTCAGTAATACTTCCATCATAAGAAAAGCTAAAGAATTACATAAAAAATTGGAAATAAAGAAAGAATTTATTTATTCGACAGCATGGTTGCAATCTTTCAAGCTGTACTATGGAATTATTAAGAACAGTAGCAAAAAAGATGGAGTTGTGCAGGATACAGAAAAATTTAATAAATTACTTGCAAAATTAAAACGTAAACAAATAAATAATGCAGAAGACAAAAATGCATATATTACAGAAAAATTAGAAGTAACTTCTGAATGTGAGGAAAAAGAAACAGAAAATAGATTAATAGCAAAAGTAACAAAAAATAAATCAAATGAGAAAGAGAAAAATCATGATATAGAAGGTAGTGAGAACAGAACAAAGAGGAAGCATATCTCACTGACCCTTCAACAAAAAATGGATATAATTAAATTATTGAAAAGTGGTATGGATAAAAATAGGATTAGACTGCTGTTTAATATTGGAGAAACAACTCTACGTCGTCTAATAAGAAATAAAGCAATAATTTCTGATTATTTTAATAAATATGACTCTCCACATTCACAAAAATATATTTTATGTGATAGAGTTCCAACAGTTAATGAAAAAGTTTGGACTTGGTACAAAAAATTGGAAGCTGAAGGTAAGACATCAATTGATGATACAACTATTAAAAGAAAAGCAAAAGAATTTCATCGGAGAATGAAAATAAAGAAAGCATGTTCATATTCTGATGTTTGGTTGAGGCATTTCAAAAAGAATTACATTAATAATGAAAATAAGAACACTATAATTGTAAATGATAGGCATCCACATGGTGAACGTTTTCAAAAATATAAAACAGGAAATAAATTAAAAACAAAACGTATTAAAGATTTTGAAAAATTGTTTGAATACAAAGTAAGGGAGAGAGAGAGCAAGAATGCATCAATGGTAGACACAACTGAAAATGAATTAACAGAGGAAGAGCTAGATGATGACATAGAAGAAAATACACAAAAGTTTAAAGGAACATTTGAACAGCTTGTGGCTAAAAATAAATTAACAGCAGAACAAATATACAGTGCATATGATAGTAGTTTGTTCTGGAAAGTATTACCCACAGCAACTTTAAGTTGCAAAAACAAAATGTCTATTTTTACAGGAAATGAACAAAGTACAGAATGGATAACAGTATTATGCTGTGTTAATGCTGCTGGTACACATAAATGCAATTTGTTGATAGTTGCCAATAGCAAATTACTTCATCAAAGGCCTTTTAAAGGTATCAAGTATCTTCCGATTCTCTTCAGAGCTCAAGGAAGTGCTTGTATGAATAAATGTACATTTAAGGATTGGTTTCATGATCATTTTGTTCTAGAAGTTAGGCATCACTTTAGACAAATTGGTCTACCACAAAACAGTAAAGCACTTTTACTGATAAATAATAGTCCAGCTTATACAAATAGTGATGAACTACAAAATGGAAATATTTTTACAATCTGTCTACCTTGTAATGTTAGCTCTTTAATTTTACCTGTAAATAATGGAATAATCCAAAACTTTAAACATCAGTATAGAACAGTTTATTTAGAAAGTCTTTGTAAGTATGACGGTTATCTTAATGACTTCTTTGAAAATTATACAATAAAGACCGCTGTGTGGAAAGCCTCCGAAGCTTGGAATAATGTAAAGAAGTCAGATTTAAAGCAAGCCTGGAAACTACTTTGGCCTACCTTTGTAATATTTGATTCCGATGACGACAATGAAAATTTCTTAGGTTTCCCTTCTGAAGTTGACAAGGAAGAGAAATTAAAATTGGAATTACAGAATTATATTGGTAGTACAAAATCTTTAGAAGTTAAAAAACTGTTGAAGTCTTACTTGTCTAAGGACAAATTTGATAAATGGTTCATGAATGATAAAGTTGTTACTACTGTAGAAGAGAGAAGAGAAGCAACAAAGGTTAAAACAAGTTCACTTGTGTCTAAGAAAACTCAAAATAAAAAAGTGAATGCAAACAATCAGATAAACTCAAATATTAGAACTAACAATAGTGGAAATGCCACAAGTACTGCTATTTTGCCTAACAAAGTTCAAAATAAGAAATTAAACACAGATAATCAGATAAATAAATGTGTTGACTCAAATAGAATTGAGAGTAATGAAGATAATCAAACAAATGAATGTGCTGACTTGAATATAACTGAGAATAATGAAGATAATACACAAATTTCTGTTTCAAGTAATGAAATTAAAAGTAATAATGAAGCAAATGTTGAAAATCTTAAAATAAATTGTATTGCTTCTCAAACAGAAACCACAAATAGTGAAAACATTGCAAAGACACTTGTTTTTCCTGGGAAAATCCAAGATAACCTAAATTCCAATAACCAAAATCACAACAATAATTGTATATTCTCAAATGAGAAAACAAGGAATAGCAAAGATGATGTAAAATCATCAGATGAGGATAATCACAAGGACATATCTGTAGTTCAGTCTACAGTTAATGAACAGCTTAGAGAAACAGTTAGAACTGCAAATAATATATTAAACTCAAATAATGACAGTTCTAAAATTAGTTTTGAATCTGTCAAAGAATCTTTCGAAAATCTCATTGATTTTATGGAGAAGCAAAATCAGTATACTTCTGAAGTTTCAACAATAAGGAATTTGTATTCCGATTTCCTGAAACTGAAAGAAACTACATAAAACTTGTCATTTTTACAAATATTTAAATCACTGCCATGCAACAACCATTCCAGAATTGTATTATCTTCCCTTTTGAAGGTAGAATCGTTCTCGAGTGGATTAACAAACAGATTTAAAATTTATTGATTTTATTTTTACACATTTTATAAAATATAATTATTATGATACAGCTATATTTGTATATAATACAACTATTTAATATAACTTGTTTATTTAATATATCAAAAGATAGATTATATAACAATATAAGGAAATCTTTTTACAGTGAAGTTTGTTGAATCTTTATTTTTTTTTTATATTTAATATATGAATATATGAAAAAAGAAATTAATAGTACCCTTTAACATGCAAAATCATAGAAACTGAAGTAGAGAACAAGTTACGAAAATGCAATTTTGTGTTATTTATAGTGGAAAATCCATAAAATTTTTATGTCCCAGAAAGTTGTTTATTTGTATGTGAATATTTTGTTGAGTTCAGTCACGGTGCATTGTATTGAAGATTTTATTCAGGTGATGTTTTAACACAGGTTTGTTGAATTTTTATTTTTTGTTTTATTTGCAATTATTATTATGTTGTAATTGTTACAAATAATATTAGCAAGAAACATTATACAAAAAGATTATTTGCAAAAACTTGGAAATAATAAATATAACTTTTAAAAAAAGAGAACCTGTGTTATTGAATATTGTGTATTAATTTAATCAAGATAATCTGAAGAGATATCTTTTATGGGTAATCACGTTCTACCATCCACATTTAATACAATGTGTCCAAAAAGTTACTGTGCAGTGAGAAATTTGTAATGACATTAAAGTTATGCTTACAGCATTGCATAGGAGATCCATAAGTCTCATATGCAATGCTGCACATATACCTAACCAAAACTTTGCTTTTATTAAAACTTTACTTAAACCTTTTCCATTGCACAGTAACTTTTTGGACACCCTGTACATTTTTATCAATTTTATTTCTTGCTTTCATTCTAGTGTTTTCATTTTTTTTCTGCATCTCTGCTGCATTTTTTGCATACTTCTATTATGTTTATATTTGTAGAATCATTATGATTGAACAAACTTTCTTACAAGAATTTAACAAGACACCCATAGCATAAAATTGCGGCTAGTATCTTGGTTATATGAGTTTGGATTATTCAAAAGTCAAAAATTCCTGTTGAGAAATACAAGTGTAAATTGTTTGCTCTTCTACCTAGTTTCTCAATGGGATTTTTTGAATGGATTTAACTTATAAACAAGATATTTGTGGCATTATTTTCTTGCATTTAATTGCACTAGTTTTGATGCCCTATTATTTTTAAAAGTCTTCATAGTTCCAGAATTTATTCATTTGTGTTGATTCTTTATTTAATCTTAGTACAGTTCACGTACAGTATCAATTATACTGAATAAAATCAGATGGGTTATCAATAGTGAACAATAATTTTTCTTGTTTTATTATTTCTTGTTTCTTATTAGCATGTAAATATCTCTTGTCAATGGCTCAAGCAGCAGCGGCTTGAGCCATTGACAATAATACTTTACTTATAATAATTAACTTTTGATTATTTTTCTGACTTTAACGCACTCTTGCATATCATTACCAAATTTAATGTAAATTTTTCCATGAAGATCTTTTTGAATTGAAAATCTTATTCAACATTAGCATTACCATGTGACAATTCTAGAGCAGCTTTCAACATTTTTGAAATATTTTTACGCTTGAAGTTACTAATTGTCACAATTAGTAACTTCAAGCTTAAATTATTGTGACATCATCACAATGCTGAGCTGCACTTTTTAATCATATTTCCAATTTAATGTAAAATACATAATCTCGATTTTAGTAGTCCCCTGTACATCATACTCTTCCTGATAACAGTAGTCATGCCAAATCTTCAGTCTACCAACCAGTGCCGGCCCGAGGCAAGTTTAAGGATGGAGCGAGATCCTATTATGGCGCCCCCCTTGGTTGCCCCTAATTTATACCCTTTACTTTTCTTTACCACTGAGGCGCCCCCTTGGACTTTGCGCCTAGAGCGGCTGCTCCGTTCGCCCTATGGTAGGGCCGGCTCTGCTACCAACCCAGGAAGGCGCTCCCCTTAGGATATGGACTAGGTTACTGACCATTGGAAGAGATAAAGGTGCGTCATGTGACTGGTCAGCATAGTTTAACCCCTCTACCCCTAATGCATGTCAATCGGACGCTAGCTGACTCATGTTTATACCTCACCCCTGCGAATGATTAGTAAAGTAGAACAATACCTGAAGAGATCGCCTTCCTGGGTTGGTCAGACTAAGTGTTCTGGAGAGAATTTTTGAACTGAAATAACGTGACGCAGTTTTATAAATTCTGCAAGTGAGTAAGTGGGTGACTTACACACAACATACAAAAAAAAATCAACGTTTTTGCATTTATCGACGTTTCAAGATCTCCAGGCCCCTATGAGTGCCAGATAATTTTTCCGACCCTCCACAAGTTCGTCAATCTTGGTATATATAGCCTCCTATTACCACGTGTACCAACTAACCAAATCACATGTACTGATAGTTTTGAAACTCGACTATTGCCGTGTATATTCGCTGGTGTATAGTATAATACGCGTATAATATAAATTTATAAGGTAATCTCATAATTCAGAGTAGTTTATCTCATAAATTCAACTCTCGTTAAAAGACTGCGGATGCAAATAGCATTGATATAAATGAAAATGCCGGAATTTCCTTCTCAGAAATTTATTTAATGCAGTTTATTACACAATATAACAGGAAATAAAGTAATCTGTAATTAGTACGTTCGAAGAATTTCAGTCTTTTAAAAATAATAATTGTTTCTAATTCTTGGAAATCTCAGAGACGCCCCATACTGAGAAATAAAATTCTGTACACTGTGATAATAGATTTTAAAATTTATCTTTTTTTGAATACAGTATTAACTAGCGAATAGAAGAAGGCGAAATAAATTTTCAACAGAATTAAATATGAAATAATCTAGGAAAGAATATAACTAGCTTTGATAGTGACTGTGTCGCGAAGACAAATGAATATAAAATTAAAATAGATGTACTGTACGTAATTTAAATTCCTGTTTAAAATGCACTTAAACCAGTTTTAGATTAATCTTTCAAAGGTTTATTGGTTTCATAATTTATTTATTTTTTTTTTTGCGCTTACCAGTGGCGGAATGGGTAAGACCACTGAAGGATAGTTGTTGGTCGCGGCCTCGCGCCTCACCAACGGGCTGGCCACCCAGATTTTCTACATGTTTTCTTCTATACAGTTAGTTTCCCCTAAGAGGTCCTGCCGGGAGGCATCCCTCTTTGTCAGATCTCCCATGTGTTGTGTTGCCTTATAGCATCAATCCTATAACCCTTTTTTGTACTATATGCTAAAAAAGATTTTGTTTGGTTTGATTGCCCATATGTGACGTTGCCGTATACAATCTGCCAAGAGTCCACCAGTGGCCAAGCGGTTTCGTTCCCTGAACAGTAGGAGTTTGGTTGTTTAGTTGTGGGTTCGCGCCTCACCGGACGGGCTGGCCACGTGTGGAGTTTTCTCCACGTCTGTAACTCCTGAATAGGGGCCACTTACCCTTAAAAAAGATCTCCCGGAAGACATTCCCTTAAGCAGATCGCCGAAGTGTTGCGTTGCTATAGCAAAACAAACAAACGATCTCCCAAGGAGAAATGCTTCTTGAATTTCTATGGGAAACCGGCCCCTATAGGTCTGAGTACGTGAAGGAAACACGAAAATTCCACATAACCAACCCAAGTTGGTGTGGGGCAAACCCAAGACCGATGTTTGGTGATTTTATCCACTCAGCCACCTGTAGGCCTCCCAAGACTAATAAAAACATTTATTAAATTACCTTATTCAATGTTAAGTATTAGGATCCTTCAACATAAAGAAATTTCAATGTCTTATCCATATAATCGATTTATTCATTGCACAGCAATTTTCAGATTGCAGACCTGTATGTCTCGCTGATGCCCGTCTGTTCTTCGTTAATCTCGAGAAATGGGTTGGGCAGATGAAAATCGAGATCAAATACCAGAGGCCCCCGATAACTACGAAAACTTCCGATGGATTGGAAGTCACGTGGTTTTTTTAAATTAAAAAGAAGGTAAAAATTGTAGTCCGGTATTGTGCCGATGTCGTAATAATATATATCCGATTTTTTTAATGATTAAATTGCTTATTTGTACAAAATATTAAATTATCTTTCGTTAAAGATAACGTGTATGATGCAATTTGTTTCGAGAAAACAGGATATAGATTAGAATAAAACTGGAGAAATTTACACGTATTCATCATCATACATAAAGAAATAAAGTAAAAGTGAGTAAACTGTCTTCATCTTGTTCTCTCTTTGAATATATCGGTTTTATACTGTGCATCTGTATTTTTACAGAATGAATTTGTATTTTGTTTTCACATTATGCGTGTTATTTTGTATGGAAAAGTATGGACTGTTTATAAATTAATTTATATTTTGATCGAGTTTTTGAATTCTATTAAATTTTTCTTCGCTTTTTATAAAGCACGATATCAGCTTTAACCTGTCTGGCTTGCGACCAAAATACGTGCGAAAAGAAAACAGAAGAAGATTGTCCTGCAGGTTTGACTCGTGACGTTTGCGAGTGTTGCGTAATATGTGCTAAGGTAAGAAAATGTTTATTAATGTGAATTAATATTCTATAATATTCTAGTGCGAACGTTAAACATAACTCATGCTTCTCTAGAAGATTCGAATTAGTTTTCTAAAGAGATAAAGCGATCTCTTGGGTCCATTTACCTCTGTTGAGAGGTCTTTTTTAAAACTCGGCCCTAAAGGCACTCAGAGGATTTTTTTACAAGCCCAATATGGGTTCGACCAGGCTCACAGTGGACAGCCGGGTGGTGAGAGATGGGGCTCAATATATCCGGATGCACCATTCCGAAAATTTCTAGGATTTTACTGACCCATTCGGATTTGATTTCGAGTTCCACAGAGCAGTAGCTAACCCTAACAGCTTGGCTATCCGGCCATGTCTCTAGAGAGGTCAGAAATGCCATGAGTGAGTTAATCTGCATATGTTGGTCTTGTTCCTTACCACCTAATCATTTATGGTAGAATCCACGATAGACACGATGAAAAAGGAAAGTACCCGCAAAGTAGAGTTAAAATCAATATATAATTTCTACAGAAAAAAGTTAGCATAGTTAAACCTCGATAAAGCGTCAATAAGACGGCCCTGATGGCCGAGTGGTTAAGATGTTAGCCTACCGTTCTGGGGAACCAGGGAACGGATCCCTGAGATTTTTTAAAACTCAGCTCTGTGGGCATAAGAGAACTTTTTCCCCCAGGCCCATCATGGGTTCGGCCAGATCCACAACGGTCCCAATCAGAAGCGCCGCTAGCTATTTGAACGCCGGAGTGCAATACCGATTATGCCGCCCCCTGTTTAACTACGACTACCTACACTGAGCTTGCCAGAAAGGCTCTTCAGTGTTGTCTCATAAGGGTGTGAAAAAAGAAAATAAATATTTTACAAAGAAAAACTATTTATTTTTATTACTAAATTATTTTTGTTGTCTTAGGTGTAAAACCATATAAATATTTATCTACAGAAATTTAACTCTTCTTGCCTTTATGTTTGCGAAATCTGCTATCAATTTTCTTGTATCCAAGCTGTCTAAGATTTCACGTTCAATTGAAACTATAGCTAAATTAGTCTTTGCTGGTGCATTGTTGATCTTAAATAGTTTTTTTTTTAAATAATTTTTAACTTTGAAAAGGACCTTTCACCAAACGCAACTGAAACCGGCAATGTAAGTAATATTCTTAGTGCTATTGCTGTGTTCGGAAATGTTGAAATTAAGTCATTAGTAAAAAGATATTGTAATGGGGTTTGTGGATC